TCCGACACCCGCCCTAGCCACGCACGCTCCCGCTGACTTTCTCTCCAGATATATATGTGTATATATATGTATATAATAAAGTGTTTGCGACTTTTTCATTGCTCACGTACGCTTTTCATGACTGACTTCTTATGCTAAGGTTTGCATTTAGCTTTAGCTTCGGGTTTCAGGTCATCCAAAACGTGTGTGCCCCAATGTGTGTGCTTGTGTGTGTGTGTGTGTGTGTGTGTGTGTGTGCCCAGCAAGTGCTTTATTTCATTAAGTTGAGCTTCTCTGCTCTGATCTGCTACTAAAAATCTTTTCGCTCAACTTTTGTGCTTAATATCCCGTAGTGCGTTTGATGCGGTTTGCGGCGCCTTTTTATAGTTTCTCCCATTCTCAGCTTCAAAGCTTGTCCCGAATTTGCTTATAAAAAATAATAAATATAAAAGGGAGCTAGGTCGGGCCGCAAACGATTTCTTTTTTGCCTATTGTTGTTTTTTCTCTTAGCATATTTATGTATTTATGAGGCTATTTCTAAATATTATATATATAAATATTTTTGTGTATATATTAAAATACAGGCAGCATTCTAAGCCTGTTGTCTATACCCTGTTTTCCTTTTTTTTATTGACAATGGGTAAGCAAATTAGACGCACGTGATGCTGTTTGAGTGTGACAGGCAGTAGCAGATATTTACGCGTCTTTAGGGTAGTATATTTATTCCTGAGGGAGTAAGAAAAGTGAAATTTGTAAAGAAGCTTCCTTTCGCGACAAAGATGAGCAATACGGGAAGGTTTGTATGAAAGCTTTAAAAGCGTGCTTTGAAAACGTTACCCCAAGGTCCTTAGATGTCTGCGCGTTGAACTAGCAAGCGAGAGGTTGTCGGTTCAAATCCAGCAATAATATTCATATCGCCTCCATTTCATTTTAGCTTCTCCTAGGGTATCTGTTACTGCCAGCACTTTCACAGGCAGCTGTGCTGTCTTCTATTTTTCTGCAGAACTCACTGGGGCCCCAGACATTCCAGCCTGCTGCTGCTTATAGGGCACACGAAGAATTTTGCGTGCTGGGCGGCGCAGGAGCTACTACAAATTTCGAATAGCAATAATATTTTTAGCCCAAAATATTTGAAGCAGGACTCAGTTCTAGCTACCCCTCTGCCCCCTCCACCTTTCCACGTTTTCTCTTGCGCTGTCTGTTTACCTCTGTCTCTCTATGAATATATATTTATATATATATATATATGTACATTTTGAGGTGAGGCCAGTCTCTGGCGTCTGTTGGTTTCTGTCGTTGCGGGCATCATAAATTCCTATTAATTCGTAATGGAAATTTGTGAAAAGTAAAATTCCCTCAAGTTGTATGAAATGGAATTTGTTTTATTAATATTGAATTTCAAATGCTTGGCATTGATGTGGTTAACACAAACGTTTCGGTCAAGGTGCAGCGTATTTTAATAACAATAAGTCTCAACATTTCTCCAATCAAATGCGCAGAATGAATAAAATAGATGCCGGGCAAAAACATAATAAGAGCCACTCACAGACATGGACAGTGAGTTGGCTTTCTCGTGTTTCCGGTCTGCCAAAAACGATTAAGATTGCTATAAATTCTAATTACCAGAGAATTACGAGTTGGAAAATTACATTTTATTATATGATAAAAGTTAAGCTTCAACTGGACGACTATAATGTATACTGAAATAGATTTACATGCGTATTCCCCAGCGTCGAAAACGAACCACAAACTCCACTTAATCATGTGTCCGCCGCTGCCTGACTGCTCGACTGTCCGACTGCCCGACAGCCTGACGGTCTGACCCCTACCACTCCCCCCCCACCCCAGCACCACCAGCTAACCACCCGCTGTAGCCACTATATACCCTCTGTCTCTGCCATGCTTTTCAACTGTATTTAAGTGTCAGAAGTGCAATTTATTTTTATGTTGCTTGCCAAAAACAAAAAAAAAGAAAGTAAAATAAAAATCCAGCCAACAAGCAACTGCGAGGCAGGCAACCACGACAACAATACACAGCATAAGCAAAGGTTAGAAGTGGGCGGCGGTTGTTGTGTTAGTTTGTGGTACTTGGGTCAGCTGCTGTGGCAATAAAAATCCAACTGAAGCTCTCTTTTGCTCTGTGCACTGCATGAAAAGTGTTGATATATGTGAGAGATGAGCCAGACGGTCGCACGAGCAAAAACAAAAGCAGCAACTTAACAATTCGTTTGGGGTAGACACATTCTAATTGTACACATGATTATCTGGCAATTTACCAGTAATTGCGTTCCTGCAAATCAGTTTCAAACTATATTTATGAGCTCTGCGAGCTCTACCAGCTGCAATATTTTTGCTAAATTGTTGTAATTTGCAGTTTAGCTGTACAACATTCTTTAATATTTATTCGCTACCAAAAGACAAGAGGTTTTCTATAATTGAAAGTATGTTAACTGTTGCAACTCTGTAACTTAACATACTTTTGGAGGGCTACTGCCTCTGTTAGTGATCAGTTATGAAAGCATAACAGCGCTGGTTGTTTCTGTTATGCTTGCTTCTGTTATGTTAACGATCAGCATGATTTAAGTTCCAAAGATCCAATTAACAGACTGTTAAAGGAAGTCAAATTAAAAAGATTCCAGATGAACAGCCTAACAGCTCTTTAATATTTTTGCTGAATTTTCGTTATTTCCAGTTGTATTTTCATAAAATTCTTAAATATTTATTAACACCATAAAACATGTGGCTTTTTGAGGGTCTGTTAACAGCTTTAACACTGTAATTTAACAGGCTGTTGCCGGATTGTTGCTTCTCTTATTGATCAGTTTTAGATATACTAGTGATTAGATAGGGCGAAATTCCTGTTTCCCAAAATTTTTATTACATTTTTATTATGTGCAGCTGAGCTTTCGTATATTTTCTAACCTACTTGTTTGTGCACAAAATACAAGAAGCTTTTCGTTCATTAAACGTTTTAACTTTGTAATTTCAGAGCCTGTTACATTACTATTGACTATGTTAGAGATCATTCCAGCAAGCTTAACAGTTTTAATAAAACATATGTTATTGATCACATTGCTGTTAACAATGCCATATAATATTCGGTTGCTCCTTTTAACACTGTTACTCTGACCATCGCATGTAAAGACAAAATTGCCCAAAATTGTTAGGCAATAAATAAGTTTAAGGCACGCACAATGTCTGCTCCGAAGTACTTTGTAGAACACGTGTCACCCTGTGTGCTGAAACATGCATTTAACATAGAGCACACCTGTATTTAAGCCGCAGCAAACATGGAAAATGAATCGATTGCGCTGCAGAGTTAAACCGATATGAAGAGAGCTTCAAATTACAATGCACATTTATTATACACACACAGGTGTGTGTGTTGTGTGTGCATGCATGCACAAAGAACTTAACTAATTGCAATATAATTTATTTATTTAGTAATTAAGTTGCATGCTGCAAAAGTTGGGCAGTAGCATTTGCAAACGCCAAAAAACTAACTGCAACAATTTTCAAGTCACGTTTCAAGCAACTAATTTGTAAATTTTGCAGCAGCGCGAAGAGGAGGGGGGGGGGGGGCGGTTGGCAGGTGGGTAAAGGAACATGGGCCAACGATTACCTGTGCCTGGGCAACTGATAATGCGTGTGTGTGTGTGTGTGTGTGTGTGCTGGCAATATGTCAAAGTTGCCGGCAGCATGACATGTGGCACGTGTGCGGTTTTGATGGCACATTCAGTACAGTAGTAACTGCCACCGTGCGCCAGCTAAGCCCATCAAAGCTAAGCGACAGACAGCGGGACTGGTGCAAGTTTGACGACGCTAGCGACAGTTTTGTCAACTTAAGTTGCCTCCAAAATGAAGCTTGCCTTCAAGTCGTTGCCGTACGACACGTGCCCGCCCAGCCCGCCCTGGCAATGTTTGCTGCCACTTGTCATATGACGACGGGGCGTATGGGGCATATTGCAATTGAATGCCGCATGCCACGCTGCATATTTCATCAAAATTCAATTGTTTCCATTTGCGTCGCAGCACTCGATGCCACTTGCAACAGCGCCAGCTCCATTGTTGACCCTTTTGTCTTGAGCTTTGCGCTCGGCCAGCCAAGCGCCAAGTGGGCATATATCTTTTGCAGTCACTGTATGTGCACTGTTTTCGCCCACTTCTAACAAATAGTTATGCGCCGAACAATTTTATATAAGTCTATTTTTGTTTTTGCTCGTATTTCTTTTGGCGCATTTATTTGCAGCTCTAGTGCTGCATATGTTTGCATAAAATTTCGTCAAGCGTGCAGTATTTTTGACAGTATTTTTTAAAATATGTTTATTGTGTATGGTAGATCTGAGCTTTTAGCGCTTGAAATGTGAAAACTTTAATAAAAATGATTGTTAAATGCGCGAGTAAAACATTTTTCGTTTATTTAGGCATTTGAGAGAATTTAATACGTGTAAAATGATCTAATCAACTACAAACAACTTTTTGTCCAATGCTCAGTACAATGTGCGGTATTTTTGTAGTATGTATTGACGCTTAAACCTGATGTGTACATAGTAGATTGTATATATTAAATAAAGCAGGTTCTGGAAAGTAATGAGAGTTAAGCACAAAAAAATTTCTTTCTCTTTAAGAAACACGAAGCCAAACAATTTCATTTTATTTTATACTAGAATGTGCAGTATTTTCATGGTGTTTGGATAGTGCAAAATTACTATATGTCGAATGAATATGTCACCATTGTTTTCATTTTATTTTATTAATTTCGTATTTTGGGGCTTAAGAGAATTTATTTAACAATAATTCTTAAATTAATAAATCCAAGCTAAATCATTTTTCATTGCCAGCTGCATTTGGTTTTGTCAACAGTATTTTTCTTGAGTCTCGCAGTATTTTGTAACTTTGCAAAATTTGGAGCTTAGTTTTTACGCTTTATTTGCAGGGAATTTGATAAAAGCTCCAATTAATTAAACCATTTACATATACAATCTATAGTTTTACGTTTTTTTTTTTTTTTTTTTTTCTTATTTTTTTTTTTTTTTTTGACATTTTTGGAATACACGCGCAGTCAACTGCTTTATAGAGGGACAGTTAGTTAGGGGCTCTAGTGGGGGAGGGACAACTGCTGCTATATAGCCAAACTAAATAACATACAGGACCAGCTTACAGTATGTAAGCGGCTTTCACCAGCGATCCTTGCTTGCTCATCGAATCCTTGTGCATCTGGTACTGCAGATTGTGGGGCGGCAGGCCGAGCAGCTTACGCAGCTTGTAACCAATCTCCATGACGGCCACTTCATTGTGCCCATTGGCGGTCCAAATCGCTGGAAGCATTATGATACATGACATGACATGACAGGGCAGGACGATACTGCACATGACATGGCCACGCCCAGAGCCAACGTATTTTGTACTTACAAATTTTGTTGCTCTTGCTGCGCAAGTTGATGACAGCGCCACAGATTTCCTCGGTATGCTGAACAGCCTCACCAATCAGTATTAACAGCTGCGGGCACACAAAGTCCATAGATGAGCGCCAGCAGGCTGGCAGGCAGCGCATTGGAACTTACCACGTCCAGCCAGAGCTTGTCCAGCTCCAGTTTGCTGCAGCGTCCGATGCTGATGACCCAGCGGCCGCCATCATTGTTGGTTTCATCCTCCCACATGGGCCTGAAAAAATATTTACAATTAAAGTAAGTCGAAGTGCGCTCTAGTCGTTCGCATCCGACTAGCAGATACTCTGAACCCAGCGTCAAATATTCCGGTTTCCTTCTATGCACACACATGTTTCTTATCTTTCTTAGCCCCACATATCGAAAAGGTGTTCTCCATTAACTTCGGCTTTTATAGTCCGTTCCTTATGCAGTTTTGTATGCCTTAATATAGTATATAAATTTGTTGTATACACTTAATACCAAGGTTCTAGCTTTAGCTAACGTTGTATCCAACTTGACACAATACGAAAACTTACATACCAAGATTAGTGTATCCACCTCTTAAAGTTTTCAAGTTATCGATATCTATCGATACTATGAAAATGAATAGTAGCTATCGTTGCATATATATATAGAATATATTTTCAATTTCAAGTCTATCTCGTCGTACCTCTAATCCTCTCAAAACATGTCTTACAATATATATCGAAAATGTGAATATGAGAATAAATCGATATATATGGAGAGTATATTTCAAAAATTCTGGTCTCCAGCTCTTTAAATTTCCCGGACTCAACACAGACGGACGACTCACCTCTTCTGCTCTAGAATTTGTATATTTTATGGACGAATTTGTAAAGGATTTAAAGTGTAATAAGCTACAGTTAATCACGGTAATACCCTTACTGTATGCCCTTTTTGAACAAGGAGTAGTCGCTGCCAATCTTGAGCTCAGATGGCGGCTTAATATGATTGTATAGACTCCAGAAATCCTCGACCATATCGAAGCTAGTTATTTCGTTTTGCATATCCTCCCAGCTCTTGCTGCGATCATTCTCCAGATACCATAATGTCCAGGTATGCTCCAATGGATGCTTAAATGGCAAATGACCCAGCTGTTGTTTGCTCGGCTTGCTCATCTCGCCATCCGAGTAGGACTTGAGCTCCTGGCTAGAGCTGGAAAGCGTGTCCGCCTGCATTTCCGTATCGCTGTCCAGCATATTGAAACTGTTCTGTTTGGCCAGCAGCATTTTAACAAACTCTGCTTAATACTTTCTATATATATATATATGTATATATAGAGATACCTATAATCTGATACGTATGTTTAATTTTTAACGCGTCTTTGGGCTTTTTGCTAAATGGTTTCAACCGACGACCACAGGACGTTTATTTAATTTCAGCTCGCTTCGAATTACTTTTATGACACACACTACATGAGAACTGCCTGCGATTACAGCACACACAACTAAACAATACTTTACTATACACTGACAGCAGCCGCCCAGCTCTGTCTGTTACTCAAACTCGACTAGCTTCTGCTCACACAGAGAAAATAATTTCAAATATTTCTATTAAAATTAAGTGCACAGCTGAGCACGATCGAATTTTTACAACTTGAGCAGGTTGAGAGGGTTTTTAAACTACTTTCCTTCACTTTTCTTTCCTAAGAATAAAGTACTTACTTTAAGAAGATTTACGCTTTCTATGAGAACGTTAAATGCTTATTTCAAGCATGGCAATTTTAAATATAATTTTGTTGTACCTTATTGCTGCTTTTTAATACCCTAAACCCATTCATTATTAATGCATTATTTTCTTATATTTTTATTAATATGATGATTTATACTTTAAGAATACATTTTCGAGTACTAGCAACAATTTTCTCAGAGTGTACGTATTTATTGACGATATATGAGCACGTAAATAATAAGCCAGTCATTCAACATCTTTAAGCACTCATCTCTGTAATTCAACACTAAACATTTTATTCCCTTATGAGTGCCAATTTTGACGCTTGTCGCCAGTTTTCTGTGCCTCGTACTACGACGATAAGATCGCGTCGCCTTCCATGCCTTCCATTTCATATGAAGCGTTAATTTTATGACGCAACAAAATGGCAAAACACTTTGCTAAGCTCAAGTCCCCCTAGTCGAGCAAATTTATGTACTTCAACCAATTGACCTGCTTTTCCACAGGGCGCAGATATCCTCTAGTTATGTGTATCTAACAGACGGCAGTAGACATCTTTGTGCGTATAGCCTTTATATTCTTGAAAACTCTTTATAATCTTTCAATTTTTAACAGCTTTTATGCTCTGTGGCGTAAGCTGTACAGCTCGTCAGTATAATGTTAATGGTAAATTTAACATGAAGCTAATTTGCCAGGCGGATAAATGTCTCTTTAATCCTGGTAGGCATTTTAAAGTTGACCTTTCTCTGCAGCTGAGTCAATATACCCGCCCCATTCTCAAATTCGAGTTGTCAATCTCAGTTGATTCTATCTTTAGGTTATCATAATATTTATACCTGTCATAACAATCAAATGCGAAGAATATAGTTTCTGTGATCAGCACGTAAATATGCATGTAAATGTGTATTATTATTATTTGCTTCCATCTATATATTTTATCTTAATGTTAACATTAATATTTTATAGATTTATACTGTTGTACAGGGTATTGCTGAGCTCGAATAGTTTGTATGCTTCGTTATATTACCTGCCATAAAATGAAGCAATATTCTACGACTCTCACTGGCCACATAAAATTACACGGTAAAAGTGCTGCCAATGTGACACTAGATAAATATCGAAAAGCTCACAATGTAGCGATTAAAGTTATTGATTTTATTAATAACGAATGAAAATCTAATAATAATGCAAAATTACCATACACGTATTAGAACAATAACATATTTCGTAGAATTCTTTGAGGCTTACCTAAATTCAATTTAATAATGCTGAGAATTTTCTGATTTTAAGTCCACTTTTTCTGCTTATAATTCTATTTATAAAATATGAATACTTCAAAGTGTTTTAATAGAATAATTGTTGGCATATCGAAGAATGAACTAAGTCTAAGTTTAGCAGAATAAATGATGGCATAAATTGCACGACAATTTGTATATCTAAGATAACCATTTCTCCATGCAGCTATTTGTGCTGTGCTCCTTTAAGGAGTTAAATGGCCTAAACTTATTGAGGACCTACATATCAATATACATATACAGAATGACCTTTGTCTATCGCCACCATTACTTCAAAGAGAGATATAGAGAGGTTAACAGAGTTATACATGTATGGCAAACCCTTTGAAACTGTCATGCTTTGACTTAATCTTACTCATTTACCAATATACTGCTCGTTTTCTTAAAAAGTTTTCCACAAATTGGCAGCACTGCGCTTCTAGGGTGACCATTCGCTCATACAATAACTTCTGCCTTGTTACGAATTGAAGAACCCAGCCAATCTGCGGACATGCTGTAACTCGTCGTTCGATCAAATTGAGCATGATTGTTGATTAACTTTTAAAAACAAGCAACAAAAAAACCAAAAACAGATCTCAATTTCGTTTTTCGCCGTCGCACACGCACATTTAAAATACGCAGCATTTACGTTAAAATTTTATTGCCTGCGTTATTGAGCCTGCTGGCCATTGGAATTGGAATTAACAACAATTTAAACTCTGGTCTTTCTGGTGGTTCACTCGGCTGTGGTTTCCGTAACACATTTTACGCCATTGTTTTTGGGCATGGTTCAGCGTGCCGATATGCACGAGTTATGTACATTGCGCACAAGGTTTACGATTCCTGCCACTCATCGACAGGATGCGGGATGCGAACGCATCATTTGACTTGCCTCGCCGGCGTTTGTGTCTCTGTCTTCTTGTTGCTGCCAAGCATGCAAGACAGAGAGACGGTACCGACAGGCAGACAGATAGACTGACAGTCAGACAGACAGGCAGACAAATGGACGGCCAGCCAATAAGAAATGACTCTATCTGCGAGCAGAGCTCGCGTGATATGAAATACTTTCGCGGTTTCTTTGGCCGGGGCAAGCCCGAGAGCACAAAGCAATCTGCAATCTGTAAGCTGTTGCCATTAAGCAAATAAAGTAAATACTCGCTATGTGCGAAACCCAAAGCGAAACTTTTATTTAAAAACAAAATTGTAAACGCCAGCCGGAGGATAAATTATTTGTATACCAATAAAATGCTGCAAACTGGGCATACTGCAGTTGGGCAGGTTGAGGTAGAGGAGAGACTTTTCGAATGGAATTAAGTGCTGGATTGATCTAGAAAGGATTGATGGATTGATAAAAACAGGTTAATACCTCGAAAGAGTTGGAGATAAGAGAGTTTAAAATTTCAAATAAAAATTCCTCTATAAATGGCTTGTTCAAGTTCGTGTCTGATCTTAAATCCTTCTATTTCCCATCGATAAATGTCGAAGTTAAAGCTCAGCTTTTTATAAATATTTGTAAGATTGTATACTATAGACTCCAAATATGGAATGAGACATCAGTAATATTCAATAGTAAGCAAAACTCTATTTCCGTCTGACAACTGTTTACAGGGTATTAGCTGGTAGTTAGTCAGGCTTTGCTTTGCCTGTTCTGTTTTTTTTTTTTTGTAAATTTGTACGCAGTCTGGCAACACTGGCGCACGGCAGTTGAAAACGTCAATTGTCAGTTTGTTGCATTATCAGCGCTTTACGGCTCATTTGCGTTTTAAACATGTGTAAATAAGTTAAGATGCCCTCACCGCGAGGGGGGCCACTCGCTCGCCTCTGTTCGCCTCAAACCACACGTCATGCTTTCCGTATCGTAGTGGATAGGATATGAACAGACTCTGCCTGCTGCACGGACAGGATCTGACAGGACGCGGCGACGACGACTCATCGTTTTTAACAGTGTGCCCGGCCGTGCCGTGATTTATGTGAATTTTCAAAATAAACCAACATACACCGAGATGCCAAACTGTTGCACTCATTCGCGCATATTTAATGTGCATAAATATTTTCACATATGTAAATTATAATATGAACATGCACGCATATATATATATATATAAATTTATGTACATATGTGTAAAGTACACTCCGGCCCACGCTGCTGGAAGCTGCCTTATTAAGCGCTCATTACTCATGCCGCCTCAGCTTAAAGCAAATGTGCCCACATATGTATGCTACACATATATTTATTGTCATTTAAGTGCTCGTAGGCCTGTGTGTGTGTGTGCAGCTGTAACCACGCCCACAGCCACATTGGTGCAATGCTGTCAGCTGTCTGCGGTCAGAGACTGGCACTACATGATTCTGGCTGCAGCACACGGCCGCATTATTGTGGCCAAAAGCTGGAAGATGATGGCTGTAATAGATGAGGTAATGCGATTATTACACACTTTTTGTTTTGTCCGATATGCAAGTTAATTAAAATTAATTAATTGTATTTCATTGATGATCTCTAATATACAGCACATTGCAATAGGGTGTTACCGACTGCGTAATACTCTGTTCATTATATAATTACTGAGTAAAGCAGCTGATTGATTGGGTTGATAGCTCTGAGAATTCCCAAAGCAGTGCCTTTTAAACTGAGTTAAACGATTTTCCTTTCAAAATTTCAACTCAAACAAAAAACCAATACTCTTGCTGTGCGACGTGAGCTAAGCCAAAAGGCTTGTTACATATTTTATGCAACTTTCGTTTCTTTCTGTTATAAAAACCTTCTTTTTTTCCATCTATATATTTATTTAATACTATATATTGCTACATGTGCAGCTGAGAATTTAAATCAATTAACAAAACTATAAAATCAGAAAATTTTTTTTTAGCTCTTAAGCTCTTAAAACGGAATTATTATCTTATGTATATATAGAATAGTTTGTTCTCACAAATCATGATGAGCATGAGTAAGGTCTAACAATCAGAAAGTTCAGATAAACGTTTTTAGACATTTTTAAAGATATATTTTAGATAATATATTTTACGTTGAGGTGTTTTAATAGGGAGTAAGCTTCCATAACACAATCTCTTAGCTTGATAAAGCTAACTTTCGATATTATTAATTCTGAAAATAATTTGTATTTCTCTTAACTATTAAATGCTGCTCGCATTACCTTGAGCCTCCGCGCGCGCCCTTGCTAACTTTGTGAGTTAAAAACAGTTAACAGAGCTTTTTGTGCAATTTTGCGCCAAAGCCAAAAAAATGAGTTTGTAAAAATTCACGAACTGTGTTTGTTTGTCTTTGGCATCCCCTGGGCGGACCCTTGCAGCCATTGAATTCGCATTCACACTTTGCTTATTTATTTATTGCTGCACTTGCATTGTTATGCATGCCAAAGCAGACAAAAATAAATAGGGGAAAAAAAAATAAAATCAACACATAAAAACAGAAATAATACACACCAACACACAGCGCAATAAATTTAAAATCTAATTACGCGCACCATTTAATATCGAAACGTTGGCGGCGGAAACGGAAGTAGATGTGGGGAGTAGCGATTGGTGGAGAGGGACAGAGG